GAACCATAATTAAATGATAATAGCAAGGAAAATATGTATTAAATAAGCAAAATTAAAGAACTTAAATACTGAAATGATTCAAAATAACTATAATAACAAGCAAAGATGTGATAACATCATAAATATTTTACAATTAAAATTAAAATTAAAAAATATAAACGGATACTGATTTTATATATATACTCTGTCTTAATTATGGTATTGCATAGGATTCACATATGCAATACCATAAATATGCAATATTATTACCAATTAACATATTAATATATGTTAATTAATTTTCATTAAATATTTGGTTACCAAATAAGGTTTATTAATTATTTGAAGAATAATTAAAACTAAAATATTTAAGTAATTGAGTAAAAAAGTTTGGGCAAGAAAATGATGTAGGATTATTTTACTTATATATATATATATAGATATAGATTTGGGCTTAGACTAACCCTGTGGCTTTCAGGTCCACAGAACAATTTCTTTTTTATTTTTACTCTTTTTTTTTTTTCACTTGGCTTGCAAGCTTACTCAAGTACAAAAGCTGTAATTTTGCAGCTTTTGTACTTGTTTTTTGTTTTTTTTTTTTATTTTGAATTATTATTTTATTATTATTGTTGTTAAAAAGTGAGTTAGAAGTATAAGGCTGGGATTATCCCAGCCAATATCATATTGGCAAGATGATGTGGCAAATGCCACATCATTTGTTAATTGTTTTTGTTAGTGAACAGTATTTGCAAACTTGCATCTGTTGCAAGTTTGCAAATGTTGTTAAAAGCTATCATGCAGCAGCTTTAAGTACTTTTTTTTTATTGTTTACTTTTAGTAGTTAAATGTAATTAAATAATGTTATTTTAATATTTTGGGGCCCACTTTTGAAGGTTGATTGAATTTGCAGGGATGTAGTGTGAATATTAGATAATTTGTAAATGGGATGATGTGGAAGTGGGACCCATTTTTGAGAGTGGGAGATATTTGCAGGGGTAAGGACAACCTAATGATTTGAAATTGGGGTCCACTTTTAAAAGTGAGTTGGAATTGCAGAGATATGGAGAAATAGTGGGAGAATAGTAAATTTGATGATGTGGAAGTAAGACACACATTTGAAAGTAAAATAAATTTGCAAGGATAGGGATGACAAATTATATCGTGCACCGCGGTGCATAATCGATTATGCACCGCGCATCAAAACAACGTCGTTTTATTTAATGGAAAAGAAACGGAATCCGCAAAAAAAAATAACTCTGTTCTTCAGTTTCATTTTGTATACATTGCAGTTTCAGTTCAACACAACTACAGTTTCATTTCGATATAACTACAGTTTTATTCAATTTTATACACTCAAATATGTGAAAATGTTATTTAATTTTATTTTATATACACTATAGTTTCATTAAACACAACTACATGACCATTTCGATATAATTACAGCTTCATTGTACAATATACACTCAAATATGTGAAATGTTATTCAGTTTCATTTTTTGTATACTGCAGTTTCATTTCACCACAACTACAGTATCATTTTGATATAACTGCAGTTTCATTTGATAATATAAAAATAATACGTGAGGCAGTGTCGGTTTAAATACACTGTAGTGTCACTCCGTTAACACTGCGCAGTGCATAATCGATTATATACCGCGGTGCACGATATAACGACCCGATAGGGATAGCCTTAACAGGGAGAAAGATCCAAAAATGTGAGAGGATATAGAAGAAAAATGTATTCCTACAAATATGGGTTTTTGTGGGACCCACTACAAGGAAAAAAAAAACAAAACATACTCACTTAGGTGCGCATTAGTCGCACATGTCGCGCCCAGCAAGCATGTGTACTACACACACTAGCTAGGGGTGTAACAAGAATTAATTCTTTTTTACTTTTCGTTTTTTTTTTTTTTCATTTTTTCTCCATCCCTCTATCCTACTTGACTTCTAAAACCTTGTGAAAAAAACCAACACTGATTGACTTGTTGGTATGAAATATATAGTAAAATTGGATGGTGATGGATGAAAAGTTTGTTTGGCTAAGGTATTTAGGGAGGAAAGTTTGTAGGGAAAATATAGAAGTTAAGTGATAAAAAATTCATATAAAAAATAAAAATAAAAATATACAAGTATTTATATGAATATTATGAAAAAACATAGTAAAATTTGATGGTGATGGATTAAAAATTTGTTTTGTTCAAGTATTTAAGGAGGAAATGTTTGTGGAAAAGTTTAGATGTTAAGAATAAAAAGTTCATAAAAAGAATAAAAATAAGTATATATACGAATATTATGAAACATATAGTAAAATTTAACGGTGATAGGTGAAAAGTTTTCTTTGTTAAGATATTTAGGAAGAAAAAGTTTAGAAGTTTAGGGTTAGATGGATAAATTTCAACTATTTATAATAAAGAAGAAAAAGTCAACAAAGTTGAAAGTCAATAAATTTTTTTTAATACCAATGGACTTTGAATATCTACATGCATTTAAAGATGGATCGAATATCTACAAATACCACTAGCCTTTTAAAGTTGATACGAATCTAGATTGATTATTGAATACACCTAGGGCTGGAAATAGGCTAAGCCGGAACGAGCTTTAGAAAATTAGACTTGGGCATGTTACGAAAATCTAAGGCATGGCTGGGCCTAGGGCTGAGCCTATATGTAGGATTTTTGTTAGGTCAAGCCTGAGCCTACAATTAGCCCGGCTTGGCCTTTTTAAAAGCCTGTTTAATATGTAGGCCATTAAAAAAGTTTCAAAGTCTTGCTTTGAGCCTATTTAAAGCTTACATGTTAAGTCTTTTTAAAAACTTTAATAAGTATTTTTAAATAATTTAAGAAATATACCTAATACAAAACTAATAAGTATATCACCACAATGCAAATATAATAGCATTAAAACATAAAATAAAATAAAACAAGTCACGACTTCAACATGCTCTTTTAACTGGGTTAAGAATAAGTTCAATTGTATTATTGCTTGTTATCTTATATAATTTCATAAATAGTTAACATTCAACTCACATAATTAAATTGCGACACTTCATTAAATATTATAACAGTAAGAACAATTAATAAATAAGAACACTTTGATTTAAAAAAAAAAAAAAACAATAAGAACATTTATATATAGTAGGATTAATAGCAATGTTTATAGTTGAATCAAAATTTTGAATGAGATTTTGGAGGTGGAGGGTTAAGGTTTGGTAATTATATATACTTGGGGTTATATTGTAAATATAAAAATATATTAGGTATAAAATAGAATATATACTAACTTAATATTAAAAATTATATATATATATATATATATATATATATATATATATATATATATATATATATATATATATATATATATATATATATAACATTGTGCTCTGTAAGGCATAATATTGTGCTCTGTAAGAAGGAAAAAAATGCTCTACCAAAAAAATTAACTTACACAGAATTACCATAATGCCACTGCATTTTTTTTTAAATAGCTTCATTCGTACACTTGATTTGCACTGAATCAATGAATGAGATTAAACTATATTTTTCACCTAAGGCTTCTTTCGCACATAATCCGTTATATATATATATATATATATATATATATATATATATATATATATATATATATATATATATATATATATATATATATATATATATATATATATATATATATATATATATATATATATATATATATATATATATATAGAGAGAGAGAGAGAGAGAGAGAGAATAAAGTTCAAATGCGGCGGGGTCTTCCCGTGCGGCGGTGCGGCGGAATTTCAGAATACATCAACAGTGTTACACCAACAGTGTTAGAAAAACACACCACAATGAAAATGCAATAAAACATCACAGAATACACAACAGACTCAAAAAATACACCATATAATTCACCACCCCCAATGATGTATTTCTGAACAGTGTATGGTGTTTTTACTCACACCTAAAGGTGTGTGTTTGGTGATGCAGGGCTCTGTTTACTCTGTTTTTTGTGGTGTATTTTCCTAACGTTGATGGTGCATATTTGTTGAACTATTGGTGTTGCCGCACCGTAAAAAATCGTCGCACCGTAAGACACTGCCGCACTTGAACTCGCCTATATATATATATATATATATATATATATATATATATATATATATATATATATAGGAAAACACGTGCGGCAGAGTTCCAGAATACACCAACAGTGTTAACGATAAGCACCAACAGTGTAAGGGAAACACACCACAATGAAATGCAAAAATACATAACACAACCAAAAAAAATAAACCCTATAACTCACTAACCCTAATGGTGTATTTCAGAACACTGTATGGTGCTTTTACTCACACGTAATGATGTGTTTTTGGTGATGCGTACCTACCTAATGGTGTGTTTTTGGTGATGCGTACCTAATTTGTGTGTGTTTTTGTTGTGCATTTCCTAACATTGGTGGTGTATATTTGCTTAACTATTGGTGACGCCGCGCCACACAGGAAGGGTCTGCCGCACCTTATAGGCATGAAGACCGGTCCTGCTATATATATAGGTCTGCCCTGTTTAGTTTAATAAGCTTTGAAATGAGTCTAAGTATAGCTTTTTTACTAAACAAGTCAGGTCTAACTAGACCTCAATTAGGCTAGGTCATAACCCCTACAAAAGGACTAGGCCTATTCCCATCTTTAAATAGTTTTTTTTTTTTTTTTTTTTTTTTTTAAACATCCTTAAATAGTTAAATACACCCCTTTACCAATCCCCCATTTATATGTGACTTTGAACTCACCTGAAATGGCACAAGGAATAAGGAATAGTTTTCCATTTTCTGATTTCTACAAAATTCTGCTTTTCAATTCTTAGAAAATTGAAACGCGCTTAGCTTCTAGTTCCAAACAAGCACCAACAAATGTTTTGCAAATGAAAATTGTTAGAGGCATATCCCTGTGCAGGATTGAAATTGAAGAGGTTGGTTCCAGAAATACAAGAATTAATTGTATACACTTTCCATTTCCATCTTGTGTAGAAAAAAAAAAAAAAAAAAGAAGAAAAAATATAGTACAATGTCAAAAAGAAGCAATTAGCCTAATAGTTACCACCTCATGTTCAACTAACTAGTGTAAGCATGTATAATGAACATATATACATGAGGAAAGAACAATGTGTCCTAATCTAGTGCGCTTCCAAAACAAGAAGTCCAACCTTCTGATATGCCTGGAAAGCATATATACATATAGATATATATATAAAACAATGATAAAAAATGATGATCAATATCCCCTTGATCCTCTAGATTGATAAAGTTCCAAACTCTTTCTAGCTTCCTGCACTAGTGTTACAACCATGGGATCTTGCATCAAGTGACCTTGCTTTGTGGCCCACTCAAAAACTATAAATGCATCCTCTTTGGCTAGGTCCTCGCTATCAGGAACGCTCATTGCAATGTAACACAACAACAATATGGAAGGGATTTGAACCATTAGCTCACCAAAGTAGATAAGTGGTACGAGGTGCTTAGTGCCCCCTTCTTGAATTATGGCCTTGCAATGGTTGACATGAAGGAAATTGTCGGTAGAGGCGAACTTGTTGAGTGCGATTGCTGCCTCCCTAGTCACCTCGGGCTCCCTGTCATCGAGCAGAGCGACTAACGGGGCAATCATTCTTGTTTCTGAAGCTCGGAAAGTCCTGGCTAAGTTACCTATAGACGCGATGCTGGGTATGAGAAGGTCTGAATCAGATTTAGTTATGATCCTCAAGAACTGGTCTACAACGGCCTTGGCAGCCGGGGAAGTAGGCTTGAAAGCAGAGCGGCGCAGGTCTGAATTCTGCTCTGACACTGCTGTGATCTCCAACAACGCCATTGCTGAATGATACTGCACATCCTCAACTCCTTTCTCCAGCAAAACTGAAAAACACAGAAGCGCTCTAGACTCCGTAATGTTCCTGCAAATCGAAACGTTCCCTGCACACAGATGCCTCAGAGATCTAGCAGACATGGCTTTCATCTCTGCCTTGGTTTGTGGGTCTTCATATTCCCTTCCCTTTATGCTATTTCCTGGGAATGCTACATGGTGCTGCCCCTTCTGTCTCTGGTTAATCTTTCCACTATTATTCGCCACTTTTCCCCCCTTCAAGTTGTTGTTGTTATTCGAATTCGACTGCATATTCGGTTTCATGGCCATTGTGTTTGCCACCACGTTGTGCATTTCATTACCACCACCCATGGGATGAAGACCACCAACTTGGGTCTCGAAATTCTTGTCTTCATCAACAGCAGAAGCAGCAGCAGAACTAGCACCTGAATTTGCCATCACCACTGTGTGAATGGAGTCAATGCACATGTTATGCTTGCTAGCAATGGCGTATTTGCTGTGCTCTTGAATTGTCTCGAATGCAAGATGGCTAACCAGTAGCCTGATAGTGTTCGTTTGGGCGAAATGATCTTGGCATTTGGGATGATTCGCCGCCAACTCAGAGATAGCCCAAGCCACCACAACTTGAACCTTCATGTGCCCTTCTTTCAGAATTTTCGCAAATACCTGGCAGACACCGGCGTTAACAATATGCTCCACGCTTTCAGGATCACGCCCCAGTAGCCCTACGGCCCTTGCCGCGTTCTCCTGCCCCTCCATCCGCCCTTCTTTCGCTAATTTCAGCAGCGGCGCCACCCCGCCTTCCTCGATAATCAGCTTTCCGTACCGGTCATTGTCGCGAGCCAGCGACACCAGCGAAGCCGCCGCGTCCGACCGGTCCTCCACCGACCCCGAGCACAGAATCGCAATCTGCTCCCAAATCAGGCACAGAATCGGCTCGTTCGCCGCGATCGGAGGGAGGCCGAGATACTCGTCGTCGCGGTCGTCCGCCGGGGCTGACACACGGAGGAGCCACGACACGTCGCCGATGGAATTCTCCAGCTGTTGAGCGGTTTTCCGGAAGGCGGCGGCGGGGATAATGGTGAACACCTTCCTCAACCCGCTCGCCCTGCACTTGAAGATCAGGGTCAGCGCCTTGTCCAGGACTTGCTCCGTGTCGTCGATGATCCGGCGCGTGGGCCTTTCGTACAAATCGCTGCTCGCACGCGCCGCCTGCCGGAGAAGCCCCAGAAGCTTCTCCGTTTTGGATTTCACCTCTAGGCATTCCTGACGGAAGGAGCAAACGCCGTCAGCATTCTTTACAACCTGGTCTGCCAATTGGATAGGCTTTGCTAGTATTTGTTTTACGATGTCCGCCATTAAAATAGCGGACCGTTATCTCACGAATGAAGCCAAACTCTATATATTTTTTATCACACTAAACAATTACCTTTTCTTCTTTTTTTGTGTTTTTTTTATTAAAAAAAAAAGAAAAAAAGAAGAGAGATTTGAAAGTTTTGGTTATGGCTTTTCACGTCCTTACAAGCTCGGGCAGGGTTTTGACGGCGGAGGTGGCGTTGGGCTGCGAGTGGCGGTTCGCGGCGGTGATTGTGGCGGCCGGTGGTTGAGTTTGGGTATAGAATGATCAAACGCGATTGTCTCTTTGCTTTTAAAAGAAATCTCTAAGGACCCAACATTTTTAACCTTAATTAGAGGAAGTGCATTGGTTGGATTGAAGTAAACAAAATTTATTAGGGAGTAAATGGAGTTATGATAGATACCAAATGTATTATTTGGATAGAGTTATATTCCTTCCATCCAATATAATTTATCTACTTTCATCAAATACGGATTATAATATTTTTTGTATTTTATCTATTTCTAATTTTAATTTTAGATAATAAGATATTACTTTTTTTATTATTATTATTTATCGATATTTTTGTAGTTATTTTTATAGAATTATTATATTTAAGAATAAGGTTCAAATTAACTACTGAACGAAACGTAAAATTGCAATTTGGTCACTGAATGAAAAAATGTGCAATTAGGCCACTCAACACTTTAAATGCATGTAATTTCACCGAATAACAGGTTAACACCCTATTTAGCAGGTTGCATGTTGACATGGACGCTGACTTGCCCAAGTCAGTTTAGTGAAATTACATGCATTTGGAGTGTTGAGTGGCCTAATGGACGCGTCCATGTCAACATGCAACCTGCTAGATAGGGTGTTAACCTGTTATTCGGTGAAATTACATGCATTTGGAGTGTTGAGTGGCCTAATTGCTTCCACTGACAATGTAGCATATGTTCCGAATAGTTCGCCTCCACTGAGGCTCGAACTTACAAAGTACAACCTCCCACATAGAAAAACAACTTGGTGTCAGTGGATTACAAGGTCCTTGGCTTAAAATACCAATTTAGATATGGTAAATGATTAAATAATTGGTATGTAAGATAATTTTGTCCGTTAAAAATGATATTATAATGGTCCTTGGCTTAAAATACCAATTTAGATATGGTAAATGATTAAATAATTGGTATGTAAGATAATTTTGTCCGTTAAAAATGATATTATAATATTTGTAGCGTATATGTACAACTCAATAAGTATAGAAATACAAAAACTACTAATCTTGATTCACTTTTATAAATTTTTTAGATTTTAGATATTTATATTATACAATAATAATAATAATAATAATAATAATAAGGCACAAGTGTCAAATAGGCCCATCTATTAGTCTGAAGTGCTCAATTCTCCCCATCTACTAAAACATAATCTAATTAGACACACTTACCTTAAAAAATATGCCAATTAACTTTTTTTTGCAAGTTACCTCCAGGTTGCCCATCCATTTTGCTGACATGTAATTTTATTTAAATAAAAATAGGTGATGATGTGGAATTTAATTATTTCCTAATCTCCTGAACCCTAGTCCATCATAATCTCATCGCACATCTGCAGTTTGATTTCAAACGCACATCTCCGGTCGCACATCTCCGGTCGCACATCTCTCCAGTTCGCACATCTCCAATTCGCGCATAATCTCTATCCATTATTCATAATCTCTGTTATTGATCCAAGACAAACAAAATTTCATTTGTGCGGTTTTGAGATTATCCATGTCTTCTACCCCCATCACATCAACTTCCATGGCAATAATTGCAGGTATGCTGGGCAGATGCCCATGAATGATTGATTGCGCAATGTATATCAGCTTATCTTCCAGTCAGAGTGTCAGTATCCCATTCTTGTCCACAATATCCTTTTGGAGTTTTGGTCTCTGTAAAACATTAACTGTGAAAAAACTTCAACAACATTGAATGTGACTGTTCTTCTGCACCATACCAGCTAGGGAATGAATCGTTCTGGTTCTAGTTCATCTCCGTTCATTCTCAGCATTGATGAGGAGGAAGCTGGTGATGATGCTGACATGCCTGCATTGGAGGATGAAGCTGGTGAGGAAAGCAAGATGGAAGAAGTGGATTAAGGGACATGTCTTATTTCTTCGCTCGTCAAAAAACAAGGGTTTCGATTTTCTATTTTAGGATGTTTTAATTTTGTTATTTAATTGCCATATCATCAAATTTTGTTATTTAATTGCCATGTCATCATTGACACATAATCAGTGACCGGACCAAGTCAGACTCTACCTGAGGTAACCTGCAAAAAAAGTTAATTGGCACATTTTTGGAGGTAAGTGTGTCTAATTAGATTATGTTTTAGTAGATGGGGGGAATTGAGCACTTCAGACTAGTAAATGGGCCTATTTGACACTTGTGCCTAATAATAATAATAATAATAATAATAATAATAATAATAATAATAATAATAATAATAATAATGTAAATCGTTTTTAAAAATTTGATATTTATATTTTAGGAAATAACTAAGTAAAATGTAAATGAAATCAAATTTATTTATTACATATTCTAATATAATATCTACATATATTACTCCGTATTACAATTAAATAATGTACGAAAATATATGGTGGATGCAAGTACATATGACAACAGTAATGAAAATAGATAACGGAAGTTATAACGGTAGGTGTATTGTTGTCCAAAAAATTATGTAGTACAACTTTTATATATATATATATATATATATATATATATATATATATATATATATATAGACGAGAATTGGTGTCCCGTATAAAAAGTGAAGAATTAATCTCATATATCCATCTAAGTTGTTCAATAGTTAAAAATTAAAGAAAAATACAGTGATAATCTGCGGATAACTGACAATGCACTCAAGGTCTATAATAGTCAATTCACATGTGTGAACTATTTGTTATTTGTATTTTCAAATTCACCATCATAATTATGAAAATACCATCATACTTTTTATTTTTCTTTAATTTCTATTGGTCCCGAAATGTTTAGAGACGAATCTAGAGGGGGGTGGGGGGTAAATAGATTCGTTCAGTTTTAAAAACTTTTCTTGATTCGTTAAGAAAGGACTTGACGAATCGTTAGAGTGAAATGCACAGCAGAAATAAGGATTCGGGTTCTTTGCACGATTTGTTTAAAGATAGTTTTTTTTTTCAAGCAGTTAAGATATGATGAGATGAATGCAGTGCGTAAATAGAGAGAGAGAGAGAGAGAGAGAGAGAGAGGGGGGGGGGGAGAGAGAAAGAGAGAGAGAGAGATTTTTATAGTGGTTCGGCTGTTAACTAAGCCTACACCAATCTACTTCGCAACTCGTGAAGGTTTGTACTATCCCCTTAGTACAAAGCCAGTCCAAGATTGTTCATTGACACTAAGCTGGACACAATCTTGAGTATCAGGTTTTTCGACTACACTTAGTCTACTCCGCCTCTATCTACTCTTCACGTAAAGAAAAGATGAAATTATATATCTTTTCTTCGAACTGGAAAATTTGGCTGAAGCTGGATGAAGATGATGATGCTGCTCAAGTTTTCTTCAGATCTGGATGTAGATTTTTGAGTTTTTTCTCTTTCTCTCACTAGAACTTTATTGAGATAACTTGTATGAATTGTATTCTTGCAGATTGGTGTGTCTTCTAGGTTGATGAGGTATGCTATTTATGTTGGAAATCTTGTTGGTAAAACTGAATAATAATCCCACAAAAATAAGGATTATTATTTTCTGTAGAAAAGGGAAGGAAAGATGAAGAGATAGGCTCGTGTTTGGTGTAGGGTTTTTAGCAAGAGTCAAGCGATCACTCTTTCCTTAAAACCTTATTTGCTACCTCCCACAAGTGCTAGGAGCGTTGTAGCCTAAGCTTCCCAGGATAAAACTTGCTACGATTCAATGTTTGAGCACCCAAACAAGGAATCCGGCGAACGAGAGCAACGTTTTGAACACAATTAGGCTAAGAAAGAGTAGAGGCAGAGAGCGTTTTGAAGCTGGAAAACGTGTATGTATGTGAGCTTGTTGTTCTTGTAAAATACTCCTGCACTACCCCTTCTTATATAGGGGTTGAGGAGTTGAATAGCTTCATCATGGCATTTAAACTGGTGTTAAATCCAATTGCATAACTCCTGAACAGCCTGCTCACTATGTGTGACTTGAATTCAAAATTTAAAATGGAGAATTAATTCCGTAACTGTTGAAATTCAGTCTCACAACGGTCTGGTTGCAGCAGAGGGCTCGTCCTGTTAGCCTACTACCATGTTCGGCCCCAAGGCCGAACCCAAGCTGCTCAGTTTCGGCCTCAAGGCCGAACCACCAGTTCAGTTTCGGCGGGCCGAAACAATAATGCCATGCCACAAGGCCGAAACAACATATCTGCAGTGGCGTTTTGGAAAAATGATACCGAAGTTTGGCATAACTTAGCCCGCAAAGCCTGCCAATTTCCGGACGACATTCGTGCCCGTAGGTACCGGCGCACACGAGCTCAGGCTTGAACCAAGCCAATTTGGGATTTGATTTACACCCCCTCCCCCTCCCCCCCTCACAACCTTTGTCCAAGGCTATCAGCTCAGAATCCATAGTGGACCTAACTATCACAGTTTGCTTAGAGGATTTCCATGCAATGGCTGCACCGGCTAGTGTAAACACGTAGCCACTCGTGGACTTAGAGTCCTTAATATCATATATCCAGTTCGTGTCACTATACCCTTCAATTACAACGGGATATCTCCCGTAGTGCAGTCCAAGGTCGCGAGTATACCTCAAGTATCTCATAACCTTTACTATTGCCTTCCAATGCATTGCACCGGGGTTACTCGTATATCTACTGAGTTTACTAACCGCAAAGGCAATATCCGGCCTAGTACAGCTCATAAGATACATCAAACTACCAATAACCCGAGCATATTCCACTTGTGAAATACCTTCTCCGTGGTTCTTGGTTAGATGAATGTTTGTATCAAACGGTGTTCTAGCCAATTGATCATCATCCTTGTTAAATTTCCCAACGATTTTGTCAATGTAATGTTATTGGCTCAACACGAGACCACCAGGTCTTCTAATGATTCTAATCCTGAGGATTAAATCAGCCAAACCCATATCCTTCATGTCAAATCTCGCATTTAACATCTTTTTGGTAGACTTGATCATCCGATCGTTACTACCAATGATGAGAATATCATCTACGTATAAACAAAGAATGACATAGCCGTCTATCGTTTCCTT